TCACTTGCCTTCAGGTTAGCTCGTCCGCTATGCAAACTCGCCTCCAGGTAGAAGTTCGTTTGCTACGGTCACTCACCTTTTGGTTGCAAATTAGCCGTGTCATAAATTTAAAAAAATAATAGTTAAAAAAAGCAGACAAAAAAACAGATTAGTTTTCCTATTTAATGCCTAAAGAATCAGTGTACCAAATTTCAGCCTCCTAGGTAAATGGGAAGTAAGAGAATTATTAGTGATGAGTGAGTGAGTCAGTCAGTCAGTGAGTCAGTGAGGGTTTTGCCTTTTATATATATAGATAGAGGATATATATAACTTATGATCAAAATTTATTCATTGGCTTATCTGTATAATTAATACGCTACATGAAACTTTGTCAGTTTTATTATACCTTAAAATATATCATTGGTTTTGTATCCTAGATAGCCTAAATAAGTATTCACAGTATGAGTTAACAAAAAAGTACTGTACCTATTACTATTATCAAGTTAAGTAGGCTAATACAGTTCAATTTCGTTTTAAAATAAATGGTAGGGAGTGAAACCATTTGGCATTTTCAAAGAACCACCATTAACTCTTTTGCATACTGACCCCGTTGCAAGGCACGGGTATAGCTGCTAGCGAATATGAATAGTAGTGCTGGTTGCAATAGCGCCAGTCAAATTTTTAAGTGACCGACGCTACTAATTGGGACCGACGGGATTGATTTTTAGCGAATTTCCCGTATAGGGAACATTAGCTAATTTCCCATATAGGGACTAAGCTATTACCGTAGTACTCATGGTAAGACCTGGACGCGGGACCGATTTTTTTTCGTTTTGAGGTCCCTAGAGGCCAAAAACACCATCCGTTCAAATTCATATATATATATTTATATATATAATATATGTATATATTATATATGTATATATATATTTGTGTCCGTTAGCACGATAACTCGAGCAAAAATGATCCGATTTAGATGAAATTTGGTATAAACGTGTAAACCTACATTTATTCGAACGAGTTCGCGAACCAAGAGGATCGAACTATGGGAACGGGGGTTTACGGGGGGTTTTGAGCTTAAAAAACAAATAATTTAGTATGTCGAAGCGTTATTATGCGCCTAATGGTTGCGGAGAAAAAAAATGTAAATTTAAAATCCTCATGGTATTCTTAAGAACAACAAGTAAACTTTTGTTGTTTGATTGTTTATGGATATATTTTGATCAAATTTGGAAGATGTTTTTATTTCTTACTAACTATTAACATTTGACAAAAAACAGTTTTACCCTCCCTGATGCAGCAAACCTAAGTACTTGTTAAACTAATTTTATTTAAATAGGAAATAAACGTTATATTTTTAAGTAGACATTTTAGTGTAAATCCAATGAGGCAAATGGAAATTCCTTTAGTCTGCAGGTTTGCTGCGGCGGGGGTATTTTAGTATCTTATCTAACTTAGAGTTAATCATGTATTACCACAAAGTATCTTTTCTACATCAATTACAATTCCATAATACCCCTGCCACAGCACACCTGCAGAATTTTTTTCAATTAAATCTAATTCAATGACATTAGGTTTAACGAGTATCTAGGTTATGCTGCTATAGGGAGGGTTACGAAGTGTTATTTTAGGAAAATACTATTAGCTTAGTATAGAATAAATTAATTTTCCAAGTTGATAACAAATATATCCAAAAGGAATTAAAGAATTTTGTCAGCAGTTTCAACTGCACAAGTTAGTTCCATGATATTAAATAGCATTAACAGGTTTTAAGGTTTACCTACAGGGTGCAGCACTATTATTTTTAGGGAATTTCCCATATAGGGAATAAGCTATTATCGTAGTATACTCATGGTAAGACCTGGACGCGGGACCGTTTTTTTCTTTTTAAGGTCCCTAGAGGCCAAAACCACCATATATATATATATATATTTACTCAAATCTGTAGATAAGTTATCAAAAGAAAACGAAGTAAATTCCCTTAGGGCTCTGCCCCAGAAGCCTTTAAAATATCCCTCCACAGATGTTTGTTTACATTTTGGCCATGTACTTTTTAATGAAACAGCTGTTAATTTTCAAATTGTATTTTAAACAACACACATTTATTGAGAGTTACTGAATTGTCCAAAGGAAGTATTTGCAATGTTATTTTCTTGAACTCTTAGAGAGCCTTGGGATGTTATTAGACTAACGAAAAAAGGGTTGTGCATGTTTACTAGCACTACTCAACAACAAAAACAATTTAATTTATCTCTAAAAAATATATTCTTAAAGTGCACTGAGCAGCAGCCTAAAAAAATACTATGTAACTTCCTCATATAGTTACAAAATGCTCAAACTCGCATTGTGACATTTATGATACGGCTTGTATTCATCCAACAGTTATTCATCTGCAGAAGAAGTTCAGTGTGCTCTTATAGTGTCCAATAATATCCAAACACAAAAACCTTGCCTAAAATGGTACCTCTCTTGACAAATTATTTGCAGTGGCCTATATTACCGACCGTGGCCCACTAGGTTGGTATCATTATTGAAAGTAACACGATATTTTGGTGTGTATAAATAACACGATAGAGTGTAAATACTATTTAAGCAGCTACTGTCATGACAGAAAGATCATATTCCTTTTAAACTAGATCACATTATCCTTTATAAGATATGTTGATTAACAATGCATGTAAACGTCAATATATATGTAACAGCCAATTTGCAAATATGTTTTTCTCTTTGGAAATGCCACATTGCTATTTCATTTGGATTATTTGTTGCCAATGAAGCCACACGACCATATAAACTAGGAGGCCCCTAGCCGTTGATTTCGACGGGTTTCACCTACTTTATTTTAGTGTTTTTTTTTTCTGTAAATCATTTTCGCTTTCGGTTTAACTTAATTTAATAAAGTAAGAAAGCCTTTTTCTCTTAGTGATGACCATCAGTGTATATAGTCTAACTAGACTTAGATAACTCTCTTAATTTACTAACAACAATAATATGGCTAACAACAATTTTCATACTGACGAGTGATCTCCCTGCCTCGCACATTTTCCCCGTCGTAGATACATATGTCCGCAATGTTATACCCTTGAAAGATACATATGTCCCCAATGTTCCACCCTTGAAAGATATGTAGAGACCTGCCAAATGTGTCCTCAATGTTCCATGCCCACTTATACCCGGACACCATTTAAAATGTTGTGTTTCAAAATCGTCCTAGTGATGAAAAAGGGGAGTAAGGTATTTTCTCATTCCCGCTTCTCCATGCACGTTGCCAAACTGACCTCCCCTACCTGAGCAATCCACTGTGGCAGTTTTGGTATTTATACTCCACTCAAAGACACCCTTATAATCATTCCTATAGGATTATAGGATTCCTATAATTGCTGTGTTGGTTTCGGTATGGATTATGATCATAAAACGTCGTGGCAGTTTCGGTAAGGCCGATTATAGTGTACCAGTGTACCCACTTTACCGGGATTTAAAGTTAAGGTTCTCTGAAAAAAGTGATATATATTCTTTAGCCGCTTAATATTTTAACTTAATAATATTAGTTTCACAAAGTTTAGACGTATATAGCTTTCTAAGTCAATATTTTTGTTTACATTTCCATAGTTTGTTAAGTTTGACGTGTGTTGTGCGTGAGCGGATGATAGGAGATCGATGTGTTGTGTTGAGTGAAGTATTCAGTCAGGTCAAGGTGTTCAATGTGCCTTAGCTCTCGGTTCTCAGCACTCAGTAGTTGCCGGGCTGACACTTGTACGGGACCAGGGACACTTGTACGTGATGGCTCTCTATTTCCGCGCCGTTCACACCCTTACCATCGTCAGGTGTAAGTAGCCTACAGGAACCGGGACACTTGTACGTGATGGCTCTCTATATCCGCGCCGTTCACACCCTTACCATCATAAGGTGTAAGTAGCCTTCACCCAACACGACTAGAGTCACTTCCTTCACTCACTCACTTCACTTCGTCACTTTACTTCGTGTCGAGTCACTTCGTGATGGCTCTCAACATCCGCGCCGTGCACACTCATTCCATCATAAGGTGTAAGTTTCACCCAACACGACTAGAGTCACTTCCTTCACTCACTCACTCACTTCACTTCGTCACTTTACTTCGTGTCGAGTCACTTCGTGATGGCTCTCAACATCCGCGCCGTGCACACTCATTCCATCATAAGGTGTAAGTAGCCTCCACCCAACACGACCAGGGATATCATACACTGTAAGATATTAAGACAATGAAAAGCAAACAGTTGACGTGGCGATAGTTGTATGGGCACAGCTAACCGTTAATGATACATGTGTTGATAATATTTAATTACACGATTCTCCCTCCTAACCTCCACCTTTAAGCCACCTCATCCTCTAATTTCATTTAAAAAAACAATCCAGGCCGGCATAAAATGTAACTAAAAAATTTGTTCGTTGTTTAACTGTTTTAGGGAGCGTCTAATCACAACCACATACGAACGCAATCGTTAATACGTTAATCGTAATCGTTAGTAGGCTACAAATGCGAGTTCAACTCCTATTTTACTGAATAAAAAGCAAAGCATAAAGTAACACTAATGATCAGACTAGTTATGTCTTCACCGCAATTATTTCATTTGTGTTTGTATATAATGAAAGATCTTAAGTCTCGAATTTGTCTCGAGTTTTTACAACCAAAACAGATTTTAATAATATAAATAAATTAATACTTTATTGTCTTGACAATATACATTATATGGACTGTTCAATTACGTTTAGTATTAAATAAAACTCTTCAAATATATCAAGGTATCAATGCCTTAGCAAACTGATAAATGTTATAATACTGGTTTAGCTAGAAACAACTATGTCCAAGGCACATTTTGATCGGTTTACCATTCAACAACCCCACAACTCTATTGTGTGGTTGTAGGCGGGCGCTGCCATGAGATGTCGACGGCAGTAAGTGAGTTGCCGTCCCCGCCGCAGCTGGGGCCCGCCCCCGCTCCCGCCTCCACCGCCACATCCTGCAAACTGATCGCTTCGGAGAATATGAACCCCGAGGCCGAGGGGGCGACGCCGCTCATGTACGCGTGTCAGCAGGCGAGGGAAGCCGACCTCAAGTCTATCATGACCAAAAAGGTAACATCACATTTCCATTTATCAAGCTATTAGTTATACAACTAACTGCCTTGATCACTAAAGACATCTCATAAAATTGAAGTCGCGTTTGTTAAGTTCCAACGAAGAAAAAATGTGTATACTTTTTTGGATACAAGTGTTATCCCTTTAAGAGTTGATAATAATGCAATAAGGAAACCTTGATGACACACTCTGTGCTATTTACATAATATTGAATTAAAATTTAAAGAAGCTCATGACAGGACAGGTATCATAAACAGAAACATAAACTAGACAAAAAGAAAATTTCGATTGCGAGTGAAAATTTAAAAACGTACGTTTTCATGTCCCTGGCCTTTTACTTCATAGATACTGGATTTGTAGTTTATTATTATGTGTTTTTATATTTTTTGGGATGGGGGCAACATGTTACACACATTTATTTAGTTTTAAATAGGTTCTAGGTATTTTTTTCGTATTTTTAAAGTCTCGAAATTCACGACCATGACGGTTCCCTTTTCGGTACAATTTCCCACTTTCACGCTGTTTTTTGACTAATTATTCATGCCAAAATATATAAAGCCATATTTTTATGTCATCAATGGTTATTAAACTTACAAAAAAGGAGCATATTATAATTTTATTGTCATTGCAAACTGACTACCATGACAAAATAAGTCTGTCCCTCGATTTGGCGTCACGACCATTTGGGAAAAATTTTCAACTTTGGAGCACGACAGTGGCAAGCCTGGCGTCGATGGAGTCAGTTGGTTTTAGAGACTAGTTCGGGGTGTACGTCAGGTTTGTAGTGCCGGTCGTTTCGAGTTGAAAGGAGGAATTACAAGATTAATAAAGAAAAGATTGTGTTTTTTGTAATTTTGGTGTGTCCATGACCGTACATAGTCATTCGATGAAGTAGACATGGTGTTAATTTTTGTTTAAAAGATATTTCAATTGCTAGATTAACCCAGAAGTCCACTTTGTATCCTCGAACATGAGGTGCAGGGCTACCACCAGAACAGAGCCAAATAACACGTAATTTCACGACCATCGCGGGTTTTTTCACGACCAATCCAGCCTTATGGATTATAGTGTGTTTGGTCGTGACAATAACTTTAATATAATTGTAAATTGAACAGTTTAGTTCAATTGAAACACATATTTTTGTTATAACTAACAGTATAATTGAAGGACTGTTTAGAAAGATTTAGATTATTTCAGACAATTCACGACCGTACCGCTTGTCCCTGACCATCACGTTTATGATTTCTATCATAAAAATTTCAAAAATTAAAATATCGTCATATTTCAATGTTTTATACACAAAAGAATCACACCTATTTACAAACATACCGATTTTACGGGTCTCAGGTAAGTTTTTTCGGAGTTATACAAATTAAAAAAAAATTTTATTGACTTTTTTGAAATTTTTGGAGTTTTTTTTATTTTTTTCTAGAAAGACCAAATATACCAAAAGCTCAGTGACCTTTTTATTGTATAATGGTCATAAGAGTAAATTAGTTTATAGCAAAACATAGTTATAAAAATAATATTAACTATTTTTAATACTCATTTAAACGTCCGTTATGGTCGTGACAGGATTTTGTGTTTTCCACTTAAGATGCTCTATTAAAAAAAAACTACCAAAGATATTGCGTTACCATGGACATTTTATGAAACTTCAAATGTTAATGAAATAAAAAACTAATAAAAGTTTTGAAAAAAGAGGAAAACATTTTGCAAAGTGCTTTTCCTGAAAACGTACGTTTTTAAATTTTCACTCTTGCACATACAAGAAACAAGTTATCAAAAAGCTGTACTTATTTTCAGTAGGGATGTTACCAAAAGTAACTCGTGCCAGGAGGTAGTAATGTAAAGTAAATAAATTTGACCCCGAAAATACATGCATGCTACAACCTTTGCATCCAATAGAATTACTATTGAATGTGTGACACACTTTTTCCTGTTCGGGGAAGATATATATGATCGTGGTCGAAACCGTTTGCCAAAGATAGCTCAATTTACAATGGCTGGGTAAAATTCCAGAGTCTGCGATAAGGGAAAAAACCGGGTCTAACCGGTATAGGACTGGCTCATACACGGGCACTATGAACAAGTCAAAACCATCGATGTATAATAACTCCCTGGATTGCGCGCTGAGGTTGAAGTAGGGCTCGAAAAACGGTCCGTCGCTGCCTCGCTCTGTCCGCGAGGAGTGGGGATAAAGGCATGAGTCACCCTAATGGCGAGCGTCGCGCCCGCTCTCGCCACGTATTGCTATGTTAGTTTTGTGGAATTATTACGAGTAAAATTTATTATAACAAACTTATGGAGGTTTGTAAACAAATATAATTAATTTAATTACTTGCTCACACTTTACAGACTATGCATCATAAGTAAATCTCAGAAGAAATTTAGTGATGTTATGAAAGAGTTCGATTTATTTATAACCTATTTGAGCATGGGCCAAAACAAAATCACAATAATATTTTATCACATAAGCATGTCATCATTTGCTGATGTGAGCCCCAATTATTATTGAGAGACTTAGCAACATGCAAGAATATACATTATGGTTATATTACAGTATGTTTTTTTGTCATACGTGTTTGTAAAATATATTATACTAGGTGAACCCGTGCGAATTCGCACGAATAATAAATTAGGATATAAATTATAACAACGTCGTTGTATCGAGGTTGGTCTTGAGCTCAATCGTTGGCTATATGCATTCTAAGTTCTTTTTGATGTTTAATAGAAGTATAGTTTGCAGGACCAAGCTCATCATGCTGAAAACTTGTGCGTATGGATTAATATCAACCAAATGTTGAGTCAAAATGTGCATGAGTTTAGTGCTGCAAGAACCATTAACTTTGTTTAGCATTCTTCCTTGAACAGCGGGTTTGACGTCCGTAGATATAAATTTGGGCATATGTGGGATGCTCCCCTTCTGACGGTTGAAAGGTGGCAAATGGGTGATAAATTAAGTCTTGTACCTTATACATGAAAGGCCCTCCACCGTATGTTCTTCAATTTTAGCTCGATTGCTGACCATTGCGAGCGCAGAGTTGTACGATCTAATGCCCTCTTTGTAGTTTCTGCTCAAATGATTTGCTCCAGTAAGTAGGCTCTGGATATAATAGATTTCTCGGTATGGTGGTAGCTCGGTTCCTTTATGGCAGCAGGATGAAAATGCTTCGCATCGTCCTCTTTGTTCTTCTTTAAAATGTAGCGCACCACATTTCTGACATTTTAATGCCATCTCGCCAAGTGAATGCTGCTGAATTCTTGTATTTGTCAGTGTAATTTTGTAAGCACACGTTATTGCCACTAACTGTTAATGCTCCTCGGCTCGGCTCCTTACGTTTTGCATTGCTTGCCATATATTGACTTGCCGTGTCCGACCAAGGCCCCACTGGTCCGACCGGCAATATTTCTTTTTCGTCGGGTCCCTTGCATGTTTAAACGAAAATATAATGTAAAACTTGTTTTCCGTCATAACATTTCTTTGCTGGGTTTCTAATTATTTTTAATAATTTATTTTTGTAAAAAAATACAACCGACTTCAAACGCTCTAAAAAGAATGTAATAATTTCAATAAAGTAAACTTTTGTATTAGGCAAGCTCACGTATTTTAAGTCGGCGCGGCTCTATGATGATTTTTGATACAAAATTGAAAGAGGATGTCCATATTGCAGGTGACTATCTATAACTAAAGGTGTTAATCTGCATGTATTTTTCATAGTTATGCGTTAAGTGTTATTTTATTACCGTAATCAGAGATCGGCATTATAGTGGTATTAACGAGTATCTTTAAAAAGATTATAACGCATTTAAATGTTTCTAACTTGGAAAAGTAACGTTTTAATACTAAACTACTGTAGCTTCTTTTCACTATCATAATATCAAACTAAATTATTTTCCTATTCATATAGAACATTTGTGTGTGTTATTTTCAAAATGCATTTATTCTGAAGTAAACATAAAATACAAGAAAATATTTCCTTTAATATGTAAACAAAACAGTTCAGTATGTTTTTATATATTTATGTTATCCAGCTACAATTTATTGATTTTCAAAATACACACACAATATTTAATTCAAATCATATTTGCAGTTTGAGCCGCGCCGACTTGAAATACGTGAGCTTGCCTAATACAAAAGTTTACTTTATTGAAATTATTTCATTCTTTTTAGAGCGTTTGAAGTCGGTTGTAATTTTTAACAAAAATAAATTATTTCATGATTTTTAGTGACTGTATAATTTTTTATATATTAATTGCTTGAGGATTTTTGATAAGCAAAACCGTTTGAAACAATCAAAAGTTCCACAGAACAATCATTATTTTAAAACTGCTTGAGTCACCTGTTCAGGTTACATAATCAATGGGTATGAAAGTAAACATTTTTAGATATTCCTTAAGAAAGAAAGAGTTGTCCATTACATTAGGCCTAATGAAAAACTAATTGTCTTTTCTAGATACATTGAAATGTCAGACATCATCGTTTCCTGCAATCGGTGTACTTCTACATTATAAAAAGAAATACAGTAACGTCAAGCCTTTTGAAACAATGTGAAAGTTATTCCTCAGCTACCAGCACTAAAAAATCTCTCAAAAGTGGAAAATTGGTCGTTAACACGTATAGTACCCTTGGGAAATATTATATGAAAGATTGGTTCAGCTAAAAGTGGTGTAAGTCATGGAGGGGGTTTTGTTTGCTCAAGATATAGCCTAGTCGAAATTGCAAATCAACTTCCTCTAGGACTTTCCGAAGCAGGCATAATAGTATTGATATGTTATAGTAACTGGGTAGAGAATATTAATAAACACTAGTGTACATGTTTCTCGAATTCGAGCAATTGCAAAGTATTACAGGAGTTATTTTAAAACGAATAACAGTCATATTTACCATTAATTTAAAAGAGCCAACTCAAGATTACCGGTGTGTAGCTCAGACTATTTTTATCTTCGTTATTGATAAACCTAAAGCATTCCTGCCGGTTTTCTCCTTCTCAAAA